CACATCTCTATATTGAAAAGACAGCAATAGAGCCCTGGAAGAACTAAGCACACCATTTTCATGCCAAGGAAATTAGCCTTTCTACCATTAGCCTTTACGTAGGTTTTGATGTTATACCATGTGTTAATTATTTCCAAATCACAAGTGCAAACACTCACCCTGATTGGAAAATTAGCAGATTTCAAACTCAGGTAATTTCCCCCTAATGAGGAACTTGTTGAACTGAATTTAACAATTAGCTCACACCCTTTGCTGGCTGGCTATGTCAATAAGGCTACGAGCAGATGCAGGAACTTGCCTTTTTTTTCTCCTCCAGTGGCTTGCGCTGGAGGATGAATGTAAATTCACCCTGCAGGCTTGTGCCTCTGGCTTGTAAAGTTGCAGTTCTCAAATAATGCTAGAGAAGGAGATGCCTGCCCGCGTGGTATAGTTCTTGCTTACTTTGCAACCCTCTGTATGTGGATGAGTTTCCATGGATGCCTTTTGCTATGGATGGAGGACCTTTGCAAGCAGGATATTCACAGTTAGAAAGGGTAAAGCTTATTATTTATTGGCCAATATGCACAAAGGTAGGTGCACTGAGGCACTAGTGGGCTTTCTGCCCCTGATCCAGGGGGTCATAGCTAGCCAGGCAGCTCCCAGGCACAGTGGAAGGTCTCACTTCTGCTGCTTGGAGCAGGCTGCTCATCAAAGATGCTGAACTGCTGTCTCCAGACTAGTTAACTTTTTTTTTTTTTTTCCCCTGTAGGATTTTGGGTTTTTTTCATATTTTCTTTTTTTTTTCTCCTTGGGAATCCTTAAGCTGCTAATTATCCCTATGTCAGCGTTTGCACCTTTGCTGGTGATTTTACCTTTCTTATCTGGCGTGGCTCTCCTTTGCTCTGCAGGCTTCCTTAAAGGACTTTCTCGCAGCTTAGCAGTTTTCTCGGACACTTCAGCCAAGTTCAGCCTGTGTTAAAGCCGTGCCTTAGCCCTCAGAGAGCTGAGCCCTGGGAAGGGAAGGCTACGCTCTGCAGCCGCCGAGCTGCATTAAAGGCAATGTAAGCAGTTGTTGCCCTCCCGTTAGCTCGATGCGTAAGCAGTGACTGTGGCTGCCTAATGGATGCTGGGCAGCTGGGTCTGAAAGAGGGTGGCCTCTGTGTAGGTGCCCAAGGAGGGGACACCACAAATGGAAGGCAACCTGACCTCAGACAACGTGGAGTTTTGGGTTTTTTTTTTCCCTTCCCCTTTCTTGGTCACTTCTAGAATGCCCAAAGCCTCAAGTCTGGCTTTCCTGTAAGTGCATGTGGAAAATCTCCATTAAGAGCTTCAGGCTGCTTTTCAATTTATTTTCTGTAATATTTTTTTCTTGCTTTCCTAAATAGCTGAATAAAGAATCTTTGCCGAGTTCAAGCCATCCTAGATCTGTCTTTTAAGCACTTGTATCTTCCAGTGCTACGCTGGCACTACAGCCCTATTATTATAACTAAATGGCAACAGTGTAGACCTAGTAATCCTAAATATAAAGGAGCAGCTACCGATTCTTATTCTTAAAAAAAAAAAAAAAAAGTTCTCATCTCTTCAAATCTGCTGGTTTTGTTATATTTGGGTTGGCATGTTTTACTAGGAGCAGGGACTTGGGAAGTGAGGAACATGAAGGGTTTGTGGAAGGAGCCCATGTATCTACTAGCAATGCTGCTGTTGGGAGGTAGAGTAGGATGTGACTTAACAGAGTTGGGGAAAGGCCTAAGAATGTTCTGCCTGTCTGCTCTCCCAAACCAGCCTGCGCAGCTCTCCGGTTTTCCTACTGAGGAGGAAGAACGCGGCAGGGACCAGCGCGAGGGGCGAGGAACAGAGGAGACCACTGGGGATGGGATATGGGGAGGGGAAGGATACAGCCTCCCGAACTCCCTCCTGGCAGCGGGAACAGACCCTTGGGTGGCCGGTCGCTTCCTTTGCTGCTGATGTGTGAAACCCAATGGGGTGAATGCAAGTGCACTGAGAAGCTAGCTAGCTTGTTTGGAAAGCCAGTCCTGCAAAGCTACGCAGAGCTAGGGTTAATTCAGCCCTCTCCCGTACGTGATGCTCTTATTACAACACTTTGTGGTCAGTATTTGCTTTCATGCTCATCTCTTTACTGCTTGGCCACCCAAACCACATAGCTGATTTTTTTTGTCTTCTCTCTACGTTCTCATCACTCTCTCCAAATGCTGTTTTTACCTTTGATCTCATATCTCTGCGGATCTATTGCTGTCTTTATTTAATGGTGCTGGTGTGTTTTTCTCATCAGTAATGCCACCAATAAGATACCTTTATACTTCCTCACTTTATGATCTAAAGCAAATGTAGCTTAAAGGTTATAGGCTCACCGTAAGACTTATTACTTTATAGCAGCCATAAAAAAAATGAGTTGTGAAACTTATTATCTCCTGTTAACATTTTGTTGGATGTTTTCAAACGCTTCTCTCGCCACTGTCACGCAATCGAGAGCGATTTCTCTTGCTGGTGGGAAAGGCATCCTTATCAGAACGCATGCTGGAGGAATATCCTGGGCTTTGTTTTGTTGTTCCTTGTTCAGGTTGCCTAAGGTGCAGCTCGGATGTTGGGCTTGCCATCTTCAAGAAATTCAGCTAAAAGAAGGTAGCGCATGTGGTGCAGGCTGCCCACTGCCCCTGGCCCCTGCCCCGCTAGAGAGGAACCCCTGGATCCCGCAAGTTAAGCGGTGTGTCTGAGCAGAGGGGGAAGAATTTGAGAGATTGGGGGAGGGATTCTTTCCTTAAAAAAGCTTTTTTTTTTTTTTTTAAAGTAAAATCCATCCATTCTATCGCACTCCTATAAGGTGCAATTCAAGGAAGCTCTTTGGCACCTATTTACGATGCAGTATCTCAGATTTTTCTCAGAGAAGGGTTCTCCGTGAGCAAGTGTTTTCTAGAATTTGCCCTCTGTGACTGTGCAAAGTAAAAGACAAAGTAAAAAGAGGTGTCTTTGCTGCCAGCTCTGCTTGACACTTCATCACCTGGCAGTACGTTTTATTGCTCTAATGTTAGATAAATAGCAGGACAAACAGTATCTATTCACAAGCACAAGAGCTAGTGATGCTTCTGGCTGAATTGGTTCGTATTGCTGCATTTTAGTGGGCATTTTAGAGAGATGGCAAACACGAGGCCAATGGGCCAACAGCGCTCCTGTCCCCTGAACAAGGGCCTCGAGGGCAGCACGTGTGAAGAGGAAGACCCTCCTGCCACTTTACTGGGTGTTCAGGGCCCCCCCAGCTCCGTCAGATTCTGTATGCGGAGCCTCTGCCGTGGGTCTGTGGATCCGGCCGTGGATCCTGCTCGCAGAACCACTGCAGAGCCTCTCCCAGGGATGCTCTCTTGCCCCTTTTGCCCTAAAAACTGTGTTCCACGGAGACTCAAGGACACTTTACTGGCTGCAAATATTTCCAATTTTGAAACTTTTTGAAGTCCCAGCCAGCCACTCCCTCTGTCCTTGAGAACCACTTTGCAAGTCCAGAAGAGCCACATTATTAATGTATCTGTGGCCTTGTGTACCCAGACCTAATGAAACATTAGGGATACACTAATAGCTGTCCTGTTAAAAATGCTTTAACAGTTTATGTTAAAAAAAGTAAGCTGGTCCCTAGTTAACTCTATGGACATGTAGGGTGCTCTTGCATTAAACCCTTCAGACAGTTTTTGAAGGAACATGCAGATCCTATCATGTTAATGCAGTTCAAGAATCTGTGTTTCTTTCACAGACTACCAGTTTATTAAAAAAAATAAAGTATATTTTTCAACTTTTTTCAAAAATCATTTTTCTAGCAAAATGGTATTATTCTGTTGTTAAGGAAAATACTTCTGACCTCTATCTAAATGAAAAAAATCTTTAATCCAACTTTCCAGCTTGCTTAAATATACAGAATATTTACTTCCAGTTTAGGAGCTGGGAAATCATTTCTGGAATTCCTTCTACAGCAAAAATAACTCCCCCCTATTTGCCCAGCTCTGCTTTAATGGCAAAATGTTTGACATACTACAGGTAACAGGTGATAATAAGATATTTCCTAACATTAAACATTTTTCCGGTCTACATAAATAATAAGCATCCATGCTGCATGGATTGGGCATTTCCTTCTAGGAATCTGCACACAGATGTGACGCTCAGATGTGGAGAGCGCCAAGCGCTCACACAGGAGCAAACACAACATCCATGTGCTCATTACACAGAGTAAACACAATATCACATTACAAATGACAGCAAACTAAATCAAAGCAGTCAGGGTCATTCAAGAATATCGGGACCATTTACAAAAGGGCAGGAGCTGATTTAAGCAAAATAGACTAATGGATGTGAAGTCAAAAGGTCTCATAGCACTTGAGGTTCTACTAGATGCAGAGGTGGGGTGGATAAGCTGGGGAAACAAGAATTTCTTGGAAAAACCTCCCAATCACAGAGTGGTTGAGGTTTGAAGGGACCTCTAGAGACCATCAGTCCAACCCCCTGCTCCAGCAGGGACACCCAGAACACAGGGAACAGGGCGGCATCCAGGTGGGTTTGGAAGATCTCCAGAGAAGGAGACTCCACAGCCTCCCTGGGCAGCCTGTGCCAGGGCTCTGGCACCCTCACAGGAAAGAAGTTCTCCAATAATAGTTATCCTCATAGACACGTTTTACACAGATATTCCACATATCCTGATTCCTGTTCTCCAAGTAGAGAACTGAAGGACCACACAACATCACAGAGCAGTGACAATGCCCCTGTGTGGACCATAATCCTTACTTTCCTTTTCCAGATCAGTGACTGGAAAACCGCCTTCCCTCAGAAGACCATCTGCCAGGGTCAATTGTATATCTGCAAATGGAGGCTGTGTATTTACAGAGTTAGGATGTGAACTGCCAGAGAATGAGAAAGTCTTGCCCTGCTGAGATGGTGAGTTATGTAGGTAGAGAGCATGGACAAGCCGGGGGATTTCTGAGTGAACGTGTACAAATATCTTTACTGACCCAAATTAGCTGTAATGAGTCTGTGGCACAGAGCGCGAGAGGAGAAATTCTAATGGAGGACAGATGGGAAAATGCTGTGTTAGACCTGGAGCGAGATCCTGCCTACATGAAACGGGTTTAAAACAAAAGTCACAAAAAGATAAAAAAGAGAATGGCTTTGGATTATCTCTAAATCACGGCCATTCAAATAGCTAAAAAAAAAAAATCATATTGTGAGATTGTTTGGCCACTGTCAAGTGTTTCACAATAGGATAAAATTACATGGTACGAAATATTAGTAAATGACACGCTATGAAAACACTCACATCATGTGTATATATCACTGGAGAAAAAAAAGGGGTTATCCTCACTGGTCCCTGCAGTGCAGCTCACAGGTATCTACCCCAGAAGCTGTTCTCACTGGGGCTGTGGTTATTTGTGTTGCAAGGATACAAGAGCTCCTACAGCTGAGCCTCCAGCTCCTGCAGGGACCTTCTAAACGCCTGGCAATGCACCCTCACTGAGGGCACCGTTCAGGGTGATCTTGGGAGTCTGCTTGTTGTCGTCGCCTTCCTCGGGAGTGCCCTCTGGGGGTTCTAGATCATCGTATCTTCTCCGATAGACCACCCGTGAGATTAGGGTTATCAGGAACATCTCCACGATGAGGAGCTGTTGGATCATATCTGCCAAAAAGAGGCAGCGGGGAGGATACAAAGCAGGAGGAACAAACAGCAACATGAGGATCAGGGAAGGAATGAACAACTGATTCCTGTCTTGACAAAACGAGCTACCTTTGCTACCCTCCTCCCATAATGGAGCATGTCTTACACTCAGCAGTTACATCAGTTACAGAACTAATGTACTGCCCATCTGTAAGCATGCACCCAAAATCCATGAGATTTAACAATAATTATACTTGTTGGTTTCTTGTGTCTGATTTCTGATTCTAACTCTTCTCAAGTTCTCAATACTCTTACCAAGTTTTTGTCTATTTCTTTGCAAATATGACAACTATAAAAGTGTTGTTATTGTTCTTAAGTAAAAGCTAAGATTCTCAAATGGCTACACGATCCCAGGAGATTAACACTTCAGGAAAACACGAGATACTTACACTTCACTGCTGCTAACTGCAGTAAGTGAAGAACAACCCCCTCCCAAAGAACTTACAGGCTCCTCTTGCTGATGAGGAGAGTGGTGGGACACAGGGAATAATCCTTTGCATAGCCAAGATGTTGATAATAGCTGCCTGCAGCTGGCTCAGGATGAGGATAAACTGCACCAGGAAGAGAAGAGAGATGCTTCACCTACCAGCAGGAGGATTATAGCCCCCACACCAGTTCTGCTTTCATAACAGACCCTGTTCCACCTCATCCTTCCTTGCCTGCCCTCCTCACCAGCAGTCTGCCTGCGCTTCTGAAGAAGGTAGCCTTTGGTCAGGATGATGTTGTCGTGCATGTGATTATTAAACCAAACCTCTCTATTCTACAAGTGATTCATTTTAGCACTTCATTCTGGAAGTACAACACACACAGAGCTCCCTGTCGGAATCTTCACCAATCGAGCTCTGAACGTTAGATAAAAAGGTTTAAGATGCTCCCCGTGAACCTAACCCTGAGCTCATGCTCTCCTTTAGTGCGAGAGGAATTCAAGGAATGTTTCTGTTACTGGCTCAGCTGTTGGCCACAGCAGGGAGACACGGTGCTCCAAGGCTAAATGGAATTGTACGGAGTTCTTCCTTTCCAGAAGGACTGAAGGGTGAAGGACTCGGCGGCTCAGGTTTGGTAGTGGGCCTCGTACTGCCCACTAGCCACCGCGCTGGGCCTTCTGGCAACAGCGAGAGCGTCTCTCGAGCCGCTGCTCTCACTGCCTGGGGGTGAAGCCTCGCGTGACATCTTAAACGGGACACGCGCTAGTGCAGGGTGACAACCGCTCACCGTCCCGCCTGCTGCGTTTACAACCATCTGGCAGTTTGCTGAGCAGACCCCTCCGCGTGGAGTCTCCCTACATGTTCCCTACAAACAGGACGCATATCCAAGGATTTCACCTTACTCTCTTTCTTCAGGGTTGTGTGGGAGAAGGCAGTCGTATCCCTGGACTTGCACACCCAAATGATCTAGTTCTGTTCTTTATTGTTTAGTGACTCCCAAACAGGATTTTCAGTATTATCTAACCCTGAAAGGCAGAATGGCCAAAAGAAATACTTTCAAAATGGAGTGTCGTGGTCTGCTAGAACAGTTCAACAAAAGCCACCCACAGTTCTCCACGTCCTCACCTTGTTTTTAGGTACACACCAACATTTTAACATTGTGTTTCAGGATAGTGTGTGCCCAAAGCTTCCTTCAAGCCTTGCAGAAGGTGGTGTTCTGATTTCCATAGCTTAAAGATGAATGGATTTTAAAGAGCTCAGATATCCAGCACTGCTGGAGACTACACTCAGCTCATGCTTAATGGAGCAGCAGTCACGGGGAACGCTTCAAACAGATGCAGGAGAGCTTTAACCAGGTGCAAATATGCCTTTGTACAGTGTTTTATGGAAAAAATACCATAACATTTAAACAAACAACCAAGAATTAAAGAGGCAACATTATATCTACAGTAATGTTGATATCAATAATGTTGATATCAATGTTATATCAACAGCAATGTTTACCAAAAATGTTAAATTTCTCACCTGATAAAGAGCAAACTTAGGGATGATCTTCTTACAATTAAGGATAGTCCTAACTTGCCGAAACATGATTCCAACTGGCCACAGAGCAATAATGGTAAGGATCCCAACAAAGCAGTTAATCCATATTGCAGCTCCATCAGGAGATAGCTAAGAAGCAAATTAAATAAGAATAGTTACAAAACTTGATGACATCAGTTTTACTATTGCAAGGCAGCCATTATGAACTGGCAGGTGCAGACACTAAAATTTTTGGTTTTAGCTCCACTAAAGTTGAAGCTAACAGGGGTTGCTGAGGTTTGCACTGGAAACTGCATAGCACTAAATTTACCAATTTACCTTTTTTTTTTATTTATTTTTTTTATTTTTTACACCTTGCAAGGATACAAAGCCCTCTGGAATTTGCAGGAAAATACTGAATTAGTTTTCCTATTTGCACCTGGTACCTTTTTCTTAAGGCTGCACTGCACAAAACAGGGCAGGTGCCTCTCACAGGCCATTCTGCAGGCCTAAGGCCCAGAGCAAACAGACTGGGCCATGTGCTAGAGCACGACCTCATACCCAAACCCCCCTGACACTCAGCTTCTTTCCAAGATAAGCCAGCAGATGAAGAGTCTGGGGGAAGGGAGAAATCATGCACTTCTGGGTCTCTTTTTAACAGAACAAAGCCAGGGCAGGCCTGGGAGTGTTCCCAGATCCTGCTGTTAAAGCGTTGGCCAAGATAGTAACATCAGCCCCCAAACGATGGATGTTGTGGGCTGCTGCTCATGGCAACTTCCACTTACATTATAAGGTTTGTAATTGCCATTGGTCCAAAGCACTATTGATAGGAACATGAGCACAGGTCGAAAGAAAGCCAACTGAAAGGTGCCCAGCTTCAGCCAAAGGAGAGTTCGCCTGATAAACAATCAAAAAAAACCAAGCCAATTAATAACCTTAATAACACTTTTTTGATATTGTCAAAGAGCAAAATTTCTCCACTCCTATTGCCATAGAGCACATACCAATATGTGGGGAGGAACAGCTTTAAGATTCAAAAATATTTGCAAGCATTGCCCAGATGCTTGTTTAGTAGAGCCTCTGCAAAAAGAGTATTCTGCACCAATGGCCTACTAACCAAAACAGGGCAAAATGTGATGTCTTGCTCTGCTCTGGGGCTAATGAGGGAGCCTCTAGCACCAGAACAGGTCCCTGAATGATAGTGTCATTTGCTCTGTCATGCTGCCCTATTTCACTTCTCAGATGAAACTGAGTAACTCAGCACTTGGGGCTGGATGGCAAGCTACAGCAGAGTTTCATGTCGTATGGCATGTGCAGTGCTTCTGTCTGCCTCTGCCTTCCCATTCAGCCAATTCTTAATCTTCTAGTAAACCAAGAAAAGGAATTACACAGGCTTAGGTGAAAGAACTGGTAACTTTCCAGTGCATCCTGAGTACTACCAGTGTGGTTTTGCTTCTCTGAGCTGTAACAGGAGAGGAAAGCTGTCTTTCCCTGAGTAACCTGCACATAGCCAGCAGGACCGGGCAGCATTTCCTTTCTCCTGTCTGCCAGTATAATATTTATCCAGAACACAGCTCATATGCAATTGCCTGGCCATCCAGTATTAAACCTTCCCAAAAAGGGGTCAATGCATGTGCAGACAATGGGCACGAGAGCCGACTGAAGTCAACTCACCTTGACGCTTCAGAGAAGAAGCTTCAGCTGCTGCAGCAGGCTCAGCTCTTACTCTACTACTGCCCACTTCCCATACCCTTTTACATTGCCGTCTTCACTGCAGCTTCCTGGTCCCTTGAGACTCCCGTGGCAGCTGCCTTAGCAGACAACAGGCTGCTGTTCAGAACACGTTCCAGCATATAGATGTGAAGCAGGAATTCCCTGAATTGCTCCAGGAAGACAGCTCTTAACCTTGGGACTATGAACAGCATGGGCACCCGTGGCATGGCCTGCAGCAGGCCAGCCATTTAGTGCATATGCTTTCCAAAGATTCCTTATTCCCAAAGGATAACACGGCAAACAGGCTCTGCCACTGATGGCCAATCCCTCGGCGAGACTTCCCGGTACCCTGCACACTGGATCCTGGAGCTTTCTGCTCTCTGCATGAGCAGTGCTCCCGTGCCCTGTGCCAGCAGACAAGCCCTGGGAAAGCTCGGGGGCTCTCAGGCTGCAGGTCTTGCCGAGAAGCCCGTAAGCGACAGCGTGAGCAATGCTGGAAGGAGGCCGGGTTCACCCTTCACTGTATCAACTGCTACCTATAGGTGCAGCGCTCAATCCTTACCGCCCTTCTCTAAGTGCCTTATGGGTTCAGTAGAAGAAAATACCTGTTTCTGTCTTACCAATGTCATTTCATGGAGATCAAAACTTTCCAGGAATAAGACCTGCTTTTGTTTTAAAAAATATATTTTAATCTGAAGTATTTTCAAGGTTAAAATAAATGAAGCTATTTTGTTTTTATCGAGGTAAGAGGAATTTTCTTTAAGACAACCTCAATTTGAAAATTCTGTTTGTGGAAAGTATCCAATTAGGAGTCAATTGTTCCCTTCTGGTATGAAAAGAAACTGAAATCTCACTTATTATTGCTTCTAGAATGGAAATTCCCCCTCCCACACAGCACTGCTTAGTACACAAACGGTTTCTTGAAAAAGAATGGGACTAGTTGGGGGATAAACACACTGTTCAATGTGATACAAGGGGGAACACTGCACTGGGTTAGAAACCAGTTATCTCAGGTTCTCTACTTTTAATCCACTTTACGCATTAATAAAAATGAAATAATTCAGTGGCATGGCGCGTTGCTAAAAGGATGGTGCTGTTTAAACGAGCCAGCTTGGGAGGGACAGAGGAGAGCTCAGTCATAAGAGCCCAGAGAGTGTTTTTCAGGAAGCAAGGAGGCCCTTTGCTGTAAATGTGGCCTTGCCAAGTTGGCTGGATTCCAGCAGCAGTTTTCCAGCCGGGAAATCTTAAAGGGCAACTCACCTAGTGATGCGCACGCGGGGCAGGCAGAGGCAGCAGCAGCAGCAGGGGCCTGTGCTGATCTTGAAGCGGCCCTTTTCGAACCGCCGGAGGAAGAGCTTTTGACCGCCGCACTCCTTGACCATCATCAGCAGGAACTTGTGGATAACTATGGCAAAGAATCTAGGAGAGGAAGAAAAGACCAGCTTGAACTTCTCCTATATGTCTCTCGTGTGCCTGCCAGGCCATCAGTACCTTCTGCTGTTGAGAGGTTTTAATGCTTGTGGGTTTTTTTTTTTTTTTTTTTTTTTTTGCAATCAGTAGAAATTTAAGCAGTAGCTGTAGCAAATCGTCAGCTTCCCATCACTTTGGAAGGTCAGAACTGCTATAGCTCCATTGCAAGAGGAACAAACTGAGACACAGAGCGGCTGAGGAGCTGCCCCGAACCACCCTGGTGGTGATGGCAGGCTCAGCCAGTTTGTAAGCGCAGGAATTCTGGCCCAAATCATTTTAGGGCCATGCTTTCCTATCACTTAGTCCTGAGCGGACCAAACTTTTCAGAACAAGAGCTATTCCCACTGAAATATATATGTATGTATATGTACATAGGGCTACCTCCATATCTGCATTTAGCTAACACTGTGGGTGCTGCCCCAGGCAGGGTGCGGTTCCTCCAGGGTCAAAGCAGGTCCAGGCAGTGCCGGCTACAATCCTATCCCTGCCCTCCACCAGCTGCACACATTGAGCCCTTCCCAGGAACTACAGAGTGTGCAACCACCCATTCCCCCCTGCTCCACACTGATCCAGGGAGGTGATCCCTCAAAATCCAGCAAGCAGGAATCCACAAAACAGAAGAGGTTCTCTCCAACTGCACTGCCTTCCTCATGGAGCTCATGTGCAGCTAGAAAAGTGTGAGTGGTGCTGCAAGGAAGGTGACAGGAACCTGCACCTGGGGCAAGGGAGGAAGGAGGCTTAAGAGAAGCTCAAAGCACCACAGGGCTGGGCCCTTGCACATCTCTGGCAGTTTGTAGTTTGCTGTGTGAACGGCTGTGTGTTAACAGTGCTCCCTGGCACTGTCTCTCCTGCTTTCTGTGTAAATGCCGTGTGCTATAGGGCAAGGCTGACCAGAGTTTGCGCTATCCTGGTTTCCAAAATCATCCCAGTGCTCCTGGACCAGACACCGCCACACAGCAGCCCCCCGCTAGGCTTTGCCTACGGAGGCTACCCCATCCCCTCCAGGAATCAGCAACCACATTTCTCCGTTATTCCCTGTTCATGTCCGAGCTGTTGTACAGACAGTGCCTTTATCAGGACAACGGCAGAACATTTTTACATTGATATACTTACTAGAGGGTCACTTGCCACCATTAAAAATAGACCCCTACAGCTCATCATTAACAGCAGCACGGTGAAGAAGTCACAGGTCAGAATCTCATTCTGCACAATATCCACAGGCAGGAAAAAGAAGGGGTACCACTCTAGAGCTGCTGTCAGTCAAAGGACTCAAATAATCCGAAGTCACAGCCCTCTTGTGCTCACAGTCCCTCTAGGGGCTGCAGCACCGGGAACTGCCTCAGCATTTTACACTTACCATGAAAGAGCTGCCAAGAGATTTCATCTCAAACTAAAAATTACCAAATTGTTAAATTTACAAAATGACTGTGTTTACCAAGAGTAGCAGGTGTTTAAAGGGAAGAAACTCGGGGTTCGGTGCAATGTCTAGAAACCAGGAGAATACTCACACTGCTGCTGTGAAATCTGTAAACATCGTGGAGCGAGGAATCCACATCCCAATGCATGAGGTAGTGGCAATCACCTGTGCAGAAAGGGAGCAGAGGTAAAACAAGTTCATGAAATACATATTTTTTTCCAAAGGCAACCCCCTTTTCAACACTCAGATTTATCTGCTTTGCATGACACTTACCGGAGCCGCAGCGTTTATCCAAATTAAGATTGATCTTTTGGAGGAGGGGATTTTTCTATAGATATAGACCACTTCCTCCACAAACACCAGAATGGCAATGAGCGTCATCAGAGTCAAGATTGCAAAGAGAAATATACCTGCCAGGTCAAGGCCTGCAGAGCAGAAAACAAAAGCATGTGTTTTGTTCCACCACATATAATGTAAAGACAGCATCTCGGAGGGACGACTTGGAGCTATTCTGGCAAAGACCTGTACGCATCCTTGCCTAGGGACGTGGGTCACTGACTCAACTGTACTTAGACTGACAAATAAATCATAGAATCATAGAATGCCGAAGGTTGGAAGGGACCTCAGAGGTCATCGAGTCCAACCCCCCTGCACACGCAGGGACACCCAGAGCACGGGGCACAGGGCTGCATCCAAGCGGGTTTTAAAGACCTCCAAAGAAGGAGACTCCACAGCCTCCCTGGGCAGCCTGTTCAAGGGCTCTGTCACCCTCACTGTCAAAAAGTGTTTTCTCAAGTTCCCGTGGAACATTTGGTGCCTCAGTTTGTGGTCGTTTCCTCTAGTCCTATCGGTGGCCGCCACTGATCTTTCAGGATCTTTTTAGGATGCACAGAGAGCACATGTAGAGAGCCACTCCGCGCCAGGCGCCTTCCTCCCCGCTCTGCTCTGTGCCGGGACGGCTGCTTGCGCCATCCCGCCTCCCTCCAAAGCCACAGTGGCCATGGCACCCGCATCCCCCCAGCCCGCTGCCCGGCCAGGCCTCCAGCGGGGACGGCAGCGCGGGCAGCCGCCTTCCATCCCGCCGGGAAGGGAGACGGGAGAAGGCGGGCAGCAAGGGGTCGGAAGGAGGGAGGGAAGGGGGCAGGAAGGGGGTAGAAAGGAGAGAGGGAAGGGGCAGGAAGGGGGTAGGAAGGAGGGCAGCAGGGGGCAGGCGGCCGTTGCTGCGCGGCGCGGCGGTTGGGGCGGTTAGGGCGGTTGGCGGCGGTTGGGGCCGTTGGCGGCGGGCGCGGCGCGG